CATACATGTTTGAGAGTAGTAAGAGCTCTTTTCTTTGGTAATATTCCACTCTGTTCTTAAAAACTATTCATCGTGTATTGTTCATCATTTGGATTTTTGTGGATTTTGGCTAAATGAATGAACATTCTTCTATTGTCTTTACATTCATTTCTCCCCCCCCCCCTTTTTGGCGGAACCGGGGATTGAACTCAGGCCCTTGCGCTTGCCAGGGAAGCACTTATTCTACTGAGCCATCTCCCTGGTCCCTTTACACTCATTTCTGACAGACATATATCTAGAAAAGGAATCTTCAGGTCATATGGTAGGCATATGTTTAGCTTTTTTGAGACAGGGTCTTGCTATCTAGCCCAGGTCAGCCTTGAATTGGACGCAATCCTCCTGCATGCTGGGATTATAGGCATGTGCCACCACACTCAGCTTATATGTTTAGCTTGTACTGCTGTTACTAAAAAGTTTTCCTAAGTGGTTATATATGTTTACTTCTTTTAGCAGGTATGATAAATAATTCCATTTGTCCCTTATACTGAAATTTGATATTGCTAGGCTATTATTTGTTTTTTATATATTTAGATGTATTTCACATTTTAAATGAATTTTGTCATAAGCTGTGAGAAATTTGTATAAATTATATTAAAGGGATATGTAACCTTTATATGCATTTATAAATAAAGCTTACTGTGTTAGCTTTCTGTTATTATAAGAAATACCTGAGACAATCAAGTTATAGGAAAAAAAGACTTATTTTGGCTCAGTTTTCAAAGTTTCAGTCTGACCAGTTCACTTCATTGCTTTGTCCTGAGGTGGAACAGCATGGCCTCTGCACCTAACAGAGGAAGACTGCTCAGCTCCTAGCTAGGCAGCAGGAGAGAGGCAGGCTGCAGGCCCACGGCCTCCCAGGTAGAGGCACTGGGCCTTTAGCACGTGAAGTTTTGGAGAACATTCCAGATCCAAACTGTAGTATTGACAGGATTATAATTTCTGCCTAAGGAAATCTGATCTCTACCTAAGGCGTGTTAGATTAGTTGTCTTTTGTTGCCTGGAAAATTATCTTGAAGTTTAACAGCTTAAAACAATAATTAACATTTACTGTCTCTTACAATTTCTGAGTCATTGACCTGGTAGTAGTTCAGCTGAGTGCTGTGGCCTAAGCCTTTCACCAGGTCCTAGGCAAGCAGTCCGGGCTCTGGGACTCTGCTTCTAGGCCCACTCACGTGGCTGCTGGCCAAATGAGGTTTGCCTCCTGCAGCATGGCTGTCTGCAGACCTCCCAGAATAAGTGATGGAGGGAGAAGACAGAGATTGTTGTCTTTTAGCAAACTAGTCTTGGAAGTGACTGCGTTCGCTTGAACTGTAATTTATAGGTCGCACTAGCTAGCATGGGAAAGGACTGCGCAAGGGTGTTCCTGCTGACTAGAGCTGGGCTGCTGAGGTCTTGCAGAGCAGCTCGTGCACATAGGGCCCTCTTTTGGAGTGATTGGAGGCAAAATACCCATAAAACATCTCACTTCACCCATATTAAAGTATGTAATTCATGCACAATATATTCAGAATGTTGTGCAACTCATTCCAGAACATTGCTTCCAGAACATTTTCATTACCCCGTTTTCCTCCTCGCCCAGTCATGACAGCTAGTCTCTTTAGGTTGCCCAGGTTGACTCCAAATTTTTGATTCTTGTGCCTCAGCCTCCTGAGCAGCTGGGATTATAGGCATGTAGGACCATGCCTGGATACTTGTCCTTTTTTGTGGCTGAATAATATTAATGTTTATTTTGTTGTTTGGTGGAGTGTTTATATGATACGCCTAGTTAGTTTATAATATTATTTATTCCTCTGTTCCCTTACTGATCTTCTAACCTTTATTGCAAGTTGATATTGAAATCTCTTTTACTATTGAAGTGTTGCTTCTTTCGTTTTTGTCAGGTTTTTATGTTGTTCAGAGCTCTGTTAGGCTTATTAGTAAGTTTTTAACTGTTAGCTCTTCTGACTGGATTGGCCTTTTTACCAATATATTCTCTCATAACAATTTTGAATTTAAGGTCTGTTTGATGTTAGCAAAACCATTCCAGCTCTGTTTTGATTACTGTTTGCAAGAAACAGCCTAAGTTTACTCTTTCACTTTCAACCCGTGAATCTGTTTTAAATAAAATACAGTTGCATCATATCTTTATTCATTTGTGTACTTCTGCTTTTAATTGGAGAGTTTTTAATTATTTAAATGAATTACTGATAAAGATTTTTCTTCTGCCATTTTGGTGTTTTCTGTATTGGCTTACCTTTTTGTTCCTCAGTTTTTTCATTACTACTTTTTTTAAGTTTAATTGATGTTTTTATAGTATGCCATTTTTATTTCCTACACAACTTTTAGTGGCTTCCCTAAAGATTGCAATTCATGTCTTAAATTTATAGTAATGTAATTCAAAACCAGCTTAATTTCTGTACTACATAGTTTCAGTATTACTTAATTTCCCCTTCTATACAGCTTTGTCCCTCTCCCTTTTTGTTGTCATTGTCACAGATTATATTCGTATACATTGTTTATTCATTACTACAAATTTATAATTACCTATTTGTTTTTTAAGTCATGCAAAGAAGAGTTATGGTGGGTTTTAATATTTACCTATGTAGTTATGATCATTGGTATCTTTTTTATTATTATTATAATTTCAGCTTGAAAAACACGTTTAATACCTTTATAGTGCAGTTCTATTAAATGATGGTCTCCTTTAACTTTATGAGAATATCTGCATTTCTCCTTCACTATTGAAGGATGTTTTGCCCTGATAGCAAATTCTTTGGCACTTTAACTGTGTCATTTATCTTACTGCTTTCTGTTCTTGTTTCTGATGAAACATTGGCTGTTGGGTTTTTTTTTTTGTTTGTTTGTTTGTTTCTTTCTTTTTTGGGGGATCCTTTAACTATGGTAAGTTCTTTCTCGTATACTGCTTTCAAGATTGTCTTTCAAGGGCTGGTGAGATGGCTCAGTGGTCTAAAGCACCCACTTAGAACAAGCTAAGTTTAAGCAAAGCACAGGTACCACGGTTCAATCCCCCAGCACCACATGCCAGCCAGCCCCGCCCCCTGGTGGGCTGAGCTGGCCACACACAAAATAAATAAATAAATTAATTTTAAAAAAAAAGATTGTCTTTCAAGCTTTTGATTATGTCTTGATAATAGCTTTTTCTAGTTTATTCTTCTTGAAATTTGTTGAGCTTTTTGAATGTGTAGATTTGTTCTTTTTTCATCAAATTTAGGAAGTGTAATGGCCATCATTTCTTTAAATATTGTTTTTGCCATTCATTGAGAGTTCAGTTATGCATCTATTGGTGTGCTTCAGTGTCCATGAGCTTCATAGACTCTGTTTATTATCTTTAATTACTTTTTTCTTTCTGTCTTTCAGACTAGATATGTTATTTGACCTATCTTCACATTCATTTTTTTTTTTTTCTTTTGCCTGTTCAAATCTGCTATCAAAATCTCTAGTACAGGGCCAGAGAGATAGCTCAGTAGAGTAAGTGCTTGCCTGGCAAGCTCAGGGTCCTAAATTCAATCTCTGGTACCACAAAAAAAAAAAAAAAATCTCTAGTAAATTTTTCATTTCAACTGTCTTACCTTTCAACTCCATAATTTCTGTTTGTTTCCTTTGTATAATTTCAATTTCTTCCTGATACTCTCTTTTATTATTATAATTGTTTTAATTTTTTGGTCCTTTAGAAACAGGATCTCACTGTGCAGTTCAGGAAGGCCTTGAACTTACTTTATAGCCCATGCTGGTCCCGGTCTCATAATGATCCTCTTGCCTCGGCCTCCTGAGTGCTGGGATTATAGGTACCATGACCAGCAATACTTTTTTTTTTTTTTTTTTTTTTGTGGAATTGGGGATTGAACTCAGACCCTTGTGCTTGCCAGGGAAGCGCTTATTCCACTGAGCCATCTCCCCGGCCCCAATACTCTCTTTTGATGACACACATCATTCTTGCTTTCCTGGCAGTTCTGCCTCTGTTATAATAAAAAAATAAGGAACTTTTGCTACCTATATACATTAGCTGTTAATTTATTTATTTTAAACCAGCCCAAATAAGCACTTCCCTGGTAAGCACCAGGGCCTGAGTTCAATCCCTGGTTCCACAAAAAAAAAAAAAAAAAAAAAACCAGCCTGAGAGTTCCTCTTCACTCAGTATAGCCCAGGCAAGTCAGCATGCAGTTCTTTGTCCATAGGACTTACATCTAGGCACAGCCTCAGTTTATTTTTTTTTTTATTTTTTTTTAAATATTTATTTATTTATTTATTTATTTTGTGTGTGTGTGTGACCAGCCCAGCCCACCAGGGGGCGGGGCTGGCTGGCATGTGGTGCTGGGGGATTGAACCACGGTCCCTCTGCTTTGCTTTGCTTAGCTTGTTCTAAGTAGGTGCTTTAGACCACTGAGCCATCTCACCAGCCCCCACAGCCTCAGTTTAAATGATGTTTTCAATTTATAAAATTCAGAGTAATTATTTCTGTTTATATAAATTTGTGCTGATAGTGTTCAAGATCCTAAGCAAAGTGGTAGATAGCACATAGGGTGGATGTGGGCCTTCTTTAGACACACGCGCTTATTTTTTTTTTTTTTTTTTTTTTTGCGGAACCAGAGAGTGAACTCAGGCCCTTGCTTTTGCCAGGCAAGCACTTATTCTACTGAGCTGTTTCCCCTGCCCCAACACGGGCTTTCTTGACTGTGGTAATGGATGCTGTCTACTGTTTATGCTGCTTTTAGTTTTACTCTACTGTCTTAATGTTCTCATTGGTGTTTCATTTAACTAAATAAATATAATAGGACACTTTTAATAATTATGAATATTCTGTTAATAGGTTACAAAGTACTCTCAGAAAAATGAAGCTAATTAATCCTAGAAGAGTGCTGTTCAGACAGTATAGCTCTGTCCAGGTAGCACCTACATGCTTTTATGATTTGCTATTAGATTTTTTTAAAAAACTGAAATACTGTTTGCTTGTTTGTTTATAGCTTCTTGTATGGAAAATTTGAAATGCAGAGGAGCAACCATAGCTAAAGAGATCAGTGAAGCCATGAAGGTAAAACTATGTGCCAAAAAAATACAAAATGAACAGATGTGTGTGGCTATGTATTTGCTTTCAGCATTTGTATATGTTTTGGTCTACTGTAATGTATATTCTTAGTAGTCTTTTCAGTAGATCTTTTAATACATTATTAAGCAACAGTAGCGTTCACAATGCTGTTTATCAGGCACCTGTTACTATGTGCCAGGTATTAGACTTGGTTTTAGGGCTTGGTTACTGCATGTTAGCAGTCCATCAAATAATTTTGGATAATAATACTAGCCAGCATTTATTTATTGAGCTCTTGGGCAAACTAAGCAGTAGCTGACTACTTTACATTTATTTCCTCTTAATTTTATTCTAATCCTACAAGATAGGTACTGTTATTTTCCCTTTTTAGGTATGAGGAAACTGAGGCACCAGGAGATTAAATAGGTTGCCAGATAAGTAGCTAAGCCCTGGGATTGAGAATCTGTATCCCCACTCCTACATGCCAGTGGTGGGACTCAGGGCCTCACATGTGCTAAACACATACTTACCACTAAGCTATACCCAGCCCTAGAATCTATACCTTTAACCACCATGTTATACTATTTCTCTAACTGGAGAATAAATATTGCTATAATAAAAATATTTACATTTTAGTATTTATTTTACCTAAGCAGGAAAACATTTGACTTTCTAGTATATGAAAATTATCTTTGAAACTCCTTCAAATCTCCCTTTCTTCTTTTTTTTTTTGCGGAACTGGGGATTGAACTCAGGCCCTAACACTTGCCAGGGAAGCACTTATTCTACTGAGCCATCTCCCTGTCCCCAAATCTCCCCTGTTCTGATGTTAATTTCCTAAAACATTTTGAGCTTTGGATTGATTGTGTGATTTTCTGGTGCTCATCTGACTCTTACTCCTGTCATCTGTGGGTTTTTTTTTACATTGTATCGGCAGAGTTGAGTATTTATTATGACAGAGAGACAAGATCTACAGAGCCTAAAGTTAGTACTGTCTGGCCTTTTGTAGGGAAAATGTGTTAGTCCTTGCTGTTCCAATTTCTAAAGTATTCCTTATCCTAAAGTAAAGAATTCCAGACATTAAATCCTCAGCTCTGAGTTTCCGTTACTGGAACATTACCAGCGTTGTAAAAAAAGAGCATATCCTTTAGTCTTAACTTCTTAGGTAGAATCTCTCAGCTTAAACTGTTAGGTTGAAGATTTTAATCAAATATTCCTGACCTCGAAAACTAGGTCTCAGAAAACTGCTCGACCTGTAAAGACTTTTTTTTTGGTGGGGGGTGGAGTACTGGGCATCAAACTTAGGACCTGTGCTTGCCAGGCAGATGCTGTGCCACTGAGTTAAACCCTGGCTCTTGGGGCTGGTGAGATGGCTCAGTGGTCTAAAGCACGGACCTAGATAGAACAAGCTTAGCAAAGCACAGGGACCACGGTTCAATCCCCCAGCACCACATGCCAGCCAGCCCCGCCCCCTGGTGGGCTGAGCTGGCCACACACACACACACACACACACACACACACACAAATAAATAAAATTAAATTTAAAAAAAAAAAAACAAAAAACCCTGGCTGTAACCTAAAGAATTTATAATGTCATGTATCCTGCCCTCCTCTTGTCTTTTAACATGACCTTAATTTTTTTACAGACTTTGCCTGTATTGATTGAACAAGCTGATGGATTTTCTCAGGTTTTAAGGATGCAGCCTGTTATCCAGCTCCAGAGGATCCACCAAGAAGTCTTTTCTAGTGGTGACTGGAAACCAGACCCTAAACCTGAGAGCTCTGTGACATCGATAGAAACCACACCCACAACCACTGCTCCCAGGCCAGCCTCTGGTGTGGTACTGAAAAGAAGGCGACCTTCAGACTGCCCCCAGAGAAAGTGGTATCCATTGCGGCCCAAGAGAGTTAACCTGCATACGTGAAACTCTTTGCTCGCTTGGGGAGTTGGAAATAGGGTCTGTGAACATTTGCATTACAGCCTACGTGCCTAGACAGGGCTTCATTTAAAACATTCAAGTAACTCTTACAAAAATATAACTCTCTGCTAGGATATGGTATAGTATATTTTTTCACTCATCATTTGATCTGTAGTAGATGAGTAGTATTTTTTAATTACAATTTTTAAAAATACGGGCACAAAGCACATCAGTGGACATTAAATGCAAATTGGTACTGTGCTTAAATGCCATCAGTTCTTGGCTGCCTTGCAGCTTTTGTGAAATTCCATGAGAAGCCTATTCTGCTGGGTTTCCCTCAGGGCTTTTTTCCCTTTAGGAGGAGGGCTGCATAATAGTTATTTAGTGCTGAAAACAAATCAGTTCTACACAACAGCTGCTTTTCTTTTTAGATGCAGCTATTTTATTTATTTATGATGCTGAGTTTTGAACCCAGGGTCTTGGGCATGTAATACATGACCTTTACCACTGAGCCCCCATCCCTAAGTGCAGTTTATCAAACTCATGCAGATGCCAAGGCCAGCTTTGGCTTTGTTATTCTAAATTCAGCTAATTTGCATTTGTGGGATTAATTTTAATTTTGGAAGTTTTTTTTTCTGGTAAGACAGCTGTTATTTTTTTTAAGACAACTATTATTGATCCAAGATTTTTTCTTTTTTTTTTTTTTAAGAATTAGTCTGAAACCTAAGCATGTAGCCTGTATCTCTTGCCCATACTTTTGTAATTCATAGACCTTTTACACAAGTTGACATGGAGCTAGTAATTTCTATTTAGGAGTCTTCATTTCTTTCTAGGTAGGGCCTTCCAATTGAAAATATTTATCAGATTGATACACAACAGATTGTCATTGTGCAGCAATTGCAGTCATTCTGAACTGTTTCTTGTCTAAGGATGCTTGTATATCAGAGTTATAATCATTGATAGAGGCCCCAAAAAGCATCCTGTCTACACTTTAGACCTTACCTACAGCTTGTGATAGTTCCACTGTGTGTTACACTGTTCAGTGTAGGTAAGACACCTGATTTGCCAGCTGTTTCCCCTTTTGCTATCTATCATGCCTTCATTTTGAGAAGAATTTGCTAATCATGGCTTAAAAAAAACATGTACTTCTCTGGCTCATTATATCTTAAGAATCATATACGTCTGTATTTGTCTACTCAGTCTCACTGAAGAAAACTTGCCATGCCACTTTATAACATTCTTGTGTTTTATGTTTTAATGTTACATCTGTATATTTGTATATAGCACTGTTCTATTTTGTATTAAAATAATGTATAGAGACTAAGATCTTGAACTGTATTTTAGTGTTGTCTTGGGCGTTTTTGTTTTTTGTTACAAGGTCTTACTATACAGCTCAGACTTGTGATCCTCCTGTCTCAGCCTCCCCAGTGCTGGGATTACATCCATGTGCCGCCACACCCAATTTCAGTGGCCGGCTCAGTGTGGGGCCAGCAAGGCGTGCAATACCGGGGATCAAACGCAGGTCTTTATGCTGGCCAGGCAGGCGCTTAGACCTCCGTGCTACCTCCCTGGACTCTTGGACGTTCTTGAGCTCAGCTTTCGATGGCCAGTAGGCCAGTACCTTCCATTTCGGGACATAGTGAGCTTCATTTCAGAATTGTGTTTTAAGACTTACAGGATACTTGCAGTTCTGACTAGTGCATAGTATTTAAAACTGTGTAATTTGTTTTACTTCAAAGTTCTCAAAACAAATTGCAATTAAGTCTATTACATAAGAGAATTGCTTTTTTAATTATATAACCCGCCCCCCTTTTAAGGAATGCATATTGAGATACAAAGAGTGAGGTGTTTTCTTTAGAAAAAGAGCCAGGCATGGTGGCACACACCTGCAGTTCCAGCCCCTGGAGCCTGAGGCAGGCAGGTGGCAAGTTTGAGCCTAGCCTAGGCAATTTATGACTTTGTAAGACTTTGTCTCAAAATAGAAACTAAAAAGGACTAGAGCTGCAGCTCCGTGTGAAGGCTGTGGGAGCAATAGGGCCAAAATCTAAACTAACAGATGTGGCAAAAATCTTGATAATAGTACATTTCTGTAATGGACATACTCTTTCTACTTTTGTGTCTGGAAATTTTTGTAATTTTTAAAAGTATATTTTATTACACAGCCAGAAAAGTGAGGCTTGAAATCTTGAGAGCCCAAAGTTTCATCCTAGTTAACCAGAGTTTAAATGAAAATATTGGAAAAGATAACATCTAAGCATTATTAAGAAAAACATGCTGCAAAAAAAAGAAGGGGCTGGGGAGATGGCTCAGTGGAATAAGCACTTCCCTGGCAAGTGCAAGGGCCTGAGTTCAATCCCCAGTTCTGCAAAAAAAAAGAAAAAAGAAAAACATGACTACATCTGTAATATTGGAAAAGTGTAAGTTGTGAGAGAAGAACCCGCATTTCTGCCTAAGCCAAGGACTAAATGTGAAGTCAGTACTTTCAGGGAATGTTGGAGTGGTAGAAGGAAAAGACTGAAAGTGAAATCTAAATCTCCCTGCTGGAAAAAAGGCCAGATTGGATAGGTTCTTACACTTTGCTGGAGTGTGGGTGTATGCTAGTGGTGCAGTACCTGCCTAGCACGCATGAGGCCCTGAGTTCAGCCCCAGTTCCATGCACACCAAAGCCTCGGCAAAGAATAAGCAAAATAATCACACATCCAGTCTAGTCACAAGGGGGAGAGAATGGCTTCAGCGGAGGTGATGGAGATGCCCTCAGATCGATAGTGGAAGGGTCTCTCAGCAGTGAACAGTGCACCTTACAAGTGAGTGGGCCCATGTGAAGTGTATATCAAAATGACAAAATAGAAATGACACCCAGACATTCCCATGGCTGAAGGTGACTGGGTGCTATGGTTTGGATGTGGGTTGTCCCCAAGGTATCTGGAGGCCTGGTTCCCCTGTAAGAGTGCACCAAAGGGGGTGGAGCCTGTGGCAGGTAAGTAGTTAAGAGTTGACCTCCATGAGATTTTCAAGGAGAAAATACAACTGACAACATGAGTGCTCATTTTAACCACTCCAAAGTTGTGATTTATTTAATGGCATTATTCAGGTGCCCAAGGAAACAAATCATTTGTTCACTACAGTAAAGCACAGAACTATACAAGAAATGTAATCATAGTTACAAATTGGTTCCATGGCGAACAACATTTCATAGACATAATAAAAATCCTGAATCTGAACAATCAAGTACTGAACAATTGTGAATATTCTAGTGTACAGAAAGGCTGAGGATGGGACTCAGCAGTCAGCACAGGACCAGCCCTGAGCACTCACTGACACTGCCTGAAGACTGCTGCAGGCCCTGCAACTGCTGGTCAAGGCACATCCATGTGTCCCAAGCAGGGCCCCAGCAGCCAGAGGGGCAGGGGTTGGCACGGAGGAGCCTTGTGTGCCAACCAATATGGAGTTCATATTTCAACAAACAGTTCAAATTATTGTCCCAAACCCCAAAATGGGAATATTAGGAAGTGGGGAAAAAAGTGGAAGCTTTGTACCCCATCAGTGAGTAATCCCTTAGCTGAATCAAGGCACTCCACAATATTGATATTGCCCAGTGAATACCAGATGAATAGCTAAAAGAGTGGACAGTATAAACTGTGGGTGTACTTAGGAGAGACAAGTGGTCCAAGGACTGTTTTGTTGTTGCTCTTAGAAGTCTTGGAGATTCCATTTTTCAAATTACCTGAAAATAACACGAGTATAGATAACTCTCCCAAAGACAAATAGAAATGAATTATATTCTCATCATCTCCTTAAAAAGAGACAAGTGATTTTGGCCATCTCACGCTGAGGACAAAGCTTGACATGATGCAGAGTGGGCAATGATTAATATTAATAAGTGGACACAAAGATAAATTAAGAGTCTGTCTTGAGCCTACTGGACTTGTGGAGAGATCTATGGCTGGTTTACAGACAGATTAATTGTTAAGCTAATGGCCAGAATTGAGACTAGCGAATGGTCTATGAAGTTCTGGCACCTCAAAGCAAAGTAACATGGCAACTGAGAACTTGATTTGTCCAACTCCTTCTAACTCAGTCCTCAGAGTTAGCAGACAGTCAGGTTACTTGTTAATCATAGTCTCCTGTATGCTTTTCCAAAAAGGCATTGTGCCGCAGTCCTGTCATTTCAGCAGTTCATCCCTATCATTTCCTGTAGCCCACCAGCATATCGCCCAATCAAGCTGTGTACCTAATAAAGGCCCAGGACCATGCCTTGTGGTCTGGTCCTTACTGGGCTTGGGCCATCCCAGTGCCCCTTGTAACTAAGATATATATTTTGTCTGTGTTGTATTCTGTCATCATCCCCCTGAATAGGAGATCAGTGGTCTTAGGCCAGGACCCCATCATCTTGGGATTTCAGTTGCATTATCCCAGTGTATTTCAGATAGTATTTGTAATCTCTGTTTTGACTGAGATTTATTTTTGGTTTCTATGGGGGTTTTCATCTTCCCTGACATCTTGTTTTGTACACAGGTTCTATTGTACCCAGAAGTGGAGAACAACCTGGCAATCCACTGAAGTATTCCTGGGGATTTTATATGGAAGAATTGGGGAAATTAACAATCACCTGAAGCTTAGGAGTGAAGTACCCTCCCGTAATTAAAAGGGGCATAACACCAGGTTATAATGACTCATCCCCTACTACTCCACTGTAAATTTGTATATTAGTATAGTAGTAACTCTGCATTTTGGTAGCAGCATTTGAGGGATACCAGAAGCAATCTTCCTGTTCACCCACTTGATGTGACAAATGGCAAGGTGTATGTATGCACATAGGCAAGATGTGGGATCTTTACCAACATAATCCTCCATCTAAAAGATTGTATTTGTTTAACCAAGCCTCACAGGGTAAAAGACACCACATCACTCTTCTGTAAACATGTATTTTACCATACATGCAATGTGGATGTGACTCACAGCAGCTGCACCTGGGAAAAGAAAAGGGCTCGGGCCGGGGAAATGGCTCAGTAGAATAAGTGCTTCCCTGGCAAGCATAAAGGTCTGAGTTTAATCCCCGGTTCCAGAGGGAAAAAAAAAGGCCTCAGTGCATTCACCCACCTGGCAGATGAACAGCGAAGTGGGAACAGGTGATCTAAAGCAGCAACAGGTGAGTTTTACCCATGAAATGTTCATTGCTAAATTTCTGTGCACTTAGGTTATGTTTTTTTTTTGTTTTTGTATTTAGTACAGAGTCTACAGGGTCTTACTACATAGATCAGACTCATAGTGATTCTTCTGTTTTCAGCCTCCCAAATTCTGGGATTACAGGTGTGCACCACCATGCCCAGTCTCAATCTGTCTCAGCAAGCCCCGGCCGGAGGTGGTGCTGGCACGGTATGCTGGGTATCGAAGCTTGGCCGCTAAGCTCTGCTTAAGCAGGCACTGTAGTCACCTGAGCTATCTGGCTGGCCCTTTTGTTTTTTGGCTGGCCTAGGCTGCCTTAAGGGTGGGTGTGGTGCGGCATGTGGTGGATGGAACTGCAATCCCTTGCCCCTGACTGATTTTGCCCAAGCAGGAACTTCAGACAGCTGAGCTAGCCCACCAGCCTCTAGGGTATGTTTTTTTAAAAAAAGTTTTCTTTTGATTTTTCTAGTAGAAGTAGCCTAATTCAGTATAATAGCACATGAAAAACTAGATTTTCAAGTTGTGGAGGAGGCCAAAGGTGAATTGTCAGATAGTTCACGCATGGGTGATGATGATGATGATGATGATGATGATGATGATGATGATGGTTTTAACGCTGGTCATGTTAGCCAAAGTTTCTGTGACAGTGAAGAATTGGAGAAGAATCCACCAATAAGATGGACAGATTGGCACATGCCTGTAATCCCCGTACCCAGGAGGATGAAGCAAGAGGATTGCTGCAAATTTGAGATCAGTCTGGGCTACAAAGTGAGTTCAAGTTCAGCCTGAACTGTATGGTGAAACCATGTCTCAAAAAGACCAAAAAACAAAACA